TAAAAAATAAATTGTAGAACTCAAAAACAAAAGAAAATTTCGTAAAATTTTGTTCTTGATAAAACATTACATTTTTATAGTACGTTATCATTCATCAATTAGTTTTTTCAAAAAATAAATCTTATTTTTTTGTTTTATTTTACTTTTTTCGAAAGCTGATTATTTTTATTTATTTTAATTGCCCTATAGATACAATACAAGATTTCCTTGACCACTCCGTATATTCATTTTGAACATTCATGCTAAATGTCATTTGTCAATGAGAGAGTTTATATTTCGGTTGCAGCGTTGCCAAATTGTATAATTTTTTGTGAAAAATTTAAAAAAAAAAACAGGTTATGACTTAAATTCTTCCAGCCTCTTTTTTATTAACAATAGAAAATTGTTAAAAAGTACCTATTTCTTGTCTTATTTCTTGACCACTCTGTATAATAATTTTGAACATTAATAATAGATGTCATTTGTTATAAAATGAGAAAGAAAGGTTTTCCCAGTCATATTGTGTATGTTACGTTTTTTAGATTTCGGATGCAGCATTGCCAAATTGTTTCATTTTTTGTGAAAAATTTTGAAAAAAAAACAGGCTATGACTCAAAATCTTTCACTCTTTTTTTTATTAGAAATAATGCCACCCCATAATATACAGGTTGGCTCATAAAAAGATTTTTGATGCTATTTCTTCTTAATTTTTTGTTTTATTTTACTTTTTTCGAAACACCGTTTATTTTTATTTATTTTAATTGCCGTGTAGATACAATACAAGATTTTCTTGACCACTTCGTATATTAATTTTGAACATTCATAGATGTCATTTGTTATAAAATGAAAAAAGAGTTTATATTTCGGCTCAGCGTTGCCAAATTGTTTAATTTTTTATGAAAAATTTTGAAAAAAAAACAGGTTATGACTTAAATTCTTCCAGCCTCTTTTTTATTAACTATAGAAAACTGTTAAAAAAAAACACTTATTTTTTGTCTTATTTCTTGACCATGCTGTATAGTAATTTTGAACATTAATAATAGATGTCATTTGTTATAAAATGAGAAAGAAAGCTTTTCCCAGTCATATTGTGTATGTTACGTTTTTTAGATTTCGGATGCAGCGTTGCCAAATTGTTTCATTTTTTGTGAAAAATTTTGAAAAAAAAAACAGTCTATGACTCAAAATCTTCCACTCTTTTTTTATTAGAAATAATGACACCCCGTAATATACAGGTTGGCTCATAAAAAGATTTTTGATGCTATTTCTTCTTATTTTTTTGTTTTATTTTACTTTTTTCGAAAGACTGATTATTTTTATTTATTTTAATTGCCGTGTAGATACAATACAAGATTTTCTTGACCACTCCGTATATTAATTTTGAACATTCATAGATGTTATTTGTTATGAAATGAAAAAAAGAGTTTAGATTTTGGTTCAGCGTTGCCAAATTGTTTAATCTTTTATGAAAAATTTTGAAAAAAAAAACAGGTTATGACTTAAATTCTTCGAGCCTCTTTTTTTTATTAACAATAGAAAACTGTTAAAAACACCTATTTTTTGTCTTATTTCCTTGACCACTCTGCATAGTTATTTGGAACATTAATAATAGATGTCATTTGTTATAAAATGAGAAAAAAGGTTTTCCCAGTCATCCTGTATATGTTGCGTTTTTTTGATTTCGGATGCAGCGTTGCCAAATTGTTTGATTTTTTGTACAAAATTTTGAAAAAAAAAAACAGGCTATGACTCAAAATCTACCACTCTTTTTTTATTAGAAATAATGACACCCCATAATATACAGGTTGGCTCATAAAAAGATTTTTGATGCTATTTCTTCTTAATTATTAATTTTGAATATTCATATATGTCACATAAATTTGAAATTTAAGGTGGTAATTTCTTGTTAAATCTGTACAGTTTTTTTTTGTGTTTGGGCTGTTTAGTTAAATCACTGGTGTGGGAGGGTGGAAAGGGCCTTTTTGGCCTCGGCAGGTAAAATATTTTTCATCCCTTGAATGCCCCACACCTGTTGCTAATACCAGAGGAATGAAATAATTAAAAATAAAACTTGAGATTGTGCAATAAAATGAAAAGTGTTTGATATGATTGGTGGTGGTTTAATAACGCTTCCCTTCGACGTCGATTCAATGAACCTCTTAACAAATCTGTGTTGTAATGAGTTCCCTCCTCAGTAGCGGAATAATGCAGTGAAAATCTCGGAACGATATAGCCAGATTATGTGGTGGTTTTGTTAGGGGTGCCATCCCCCTCTCTACAAACAACCCTCAACAACGACTACTGCGACTGTTAGTTTAGTCTGTGTCTCTCGTTGACAGCTGACGGTCAACTGACGCGCGAAATGAAACAAAACGTAGTGTGCCTTGTACGATTTTTTTGGATTTTTTAACATGTTTAAAACGGTTCGTATTAAAAATTCAAATACACACCACATTCCAGGATTTATCACATCGATTTAGGTGTGTGGGCGCGAAACCGACTCTTCTCCACTTCCCACAAAAAAAAATACAATTCAAAACTATTTTTTTTTTAAATTTAATTTTTTTTGTTACAGGGACCGCCACCTCAAGGTGGTCAGCTTAAATTCACCATTGCCGACACTCTGGAACGTATTAAAGAAGAATTCAACTTTCTTCAAGCCCAGTATCACACGTAAGTCAATTTTTAAATTGTGTTGCTAAGCAACGAATTGAGGTTAGGTTTGTACAATGTTGTCACTAAGAACGTGGCAACAGAGTAAAAGATTGATCAAAGTTCGTGATAATCTTGGCATGAACATCTCTTTAATGTCGTTGTTTTGTTTTTTTTTTCAGGCTAAAATTAGAGTGTGAAAAACTGGCTAGTGAAAAGACTGAAATGCAACGGCACTACGTTATGGTGAGTATTTTTCTTGAAATAATTGTTTTCTCGTGTAGAAATTGTCACGTTCGTACATATTGCATACAAAGTAAGTTATTTGGTTAGAGGAGGAGTGGGGGGGTGTTTGGGGGGTGGTGGTAGCATCCCTACCCGGAACCTCTAAGGGTTGACATCCGGACCGCGCCTGCCAGAGCAGCCACCATAAACAGCTATTTCACTTGTATCAGACGTGACAAGCACCTTGTCGAGCTCGGTAATCGATACACGCCCTCCCCCAGACACCCCGCGCCCTTTCGGATGCGATTCCAAGCGTGTTCGTCCGCCGGAAAAATTCTAGCTGGTTGGAAGGATTTAGGTTCTCTCTGTTCGCGCAACTCCGATAAATAGCCAACGAGAGGGTGAGAATGCGGGGATGAAAATGAAAAGGTGACAAACATGCAAAAATACCAGAAATTAAATTTGACAAAAAAAATTAATACTCATTGTTTCAAACGATACAAATGTGAATAATTGGAATTTTTTATTGTTAACAATAAAGACGCTAGGATTCAAGCCAAAATTTAAACTCTTTTTCATTTGTATTCTATCTACAGGGCAATTAAATTAAATAAAAATAATCGGTGTTTTGAAAAAACTAAAATAAGAAAAAATTAACAAGATATAGGCATCAAAGGTTTTTTATTAGCCACCCTGTATGTATAATATGGGGGTGTCATTATTACTAATTATCTATTTGTTAATAAAAAAGAGGTTGGAACAAATTAAGTCAGCAAGTTTTTTTTCAAAATTCTGTATAAAAAAATTAAATCAAACAACTTGACAACGCTGCAACCGAAATATAAATTCTTTTTTCATTTTATAACAAATGACATCTATGAATGTTCAAAATTAATATACGGAGTGGTCAAGACAATATAGTATTGTATCTACAGGGCAATTAAAAAAGTAAAATAAAACAAAAAATTAAGAAGAAATAGCATCAAAAATCTTTTTATGAGCCAACTTGTATATTATGGGGTATCATTATTTCTAATAAAAAAAGAGTGGAAGATTTTGAGTCATAGACTGTTTTTTTTTTTTAAATTTTGCACAAAAAAATTAAACAATTTGGCAACGCTGCATCCGAAATCTAAAAAACGTAAGATATACAGGATGGCTGAGAAAACTTTTTTTTCTCATTTTATAACAAATGACATCTATTATTAATGTTCAAAATTACTATACAGAGTGTAGGTATAGGTATTTTTTTAACAATTTTCTATTGTTAATAAAAAAAGAGACTAGAAGAATTTAAATCATAACCTGTTTTTTTTTTTCAAAACTGTGCACAAAAATTAAAAAATGTGGCAACGCTGCAACCGAAATATAAACTGTCTCATTGACAAATGACATCTATCATGTATACAAAGTGGTCAAGGAAATCTTTTATTCTATCTATAGGACAATTAGAATGTATAAAAAATAATCAGCGTTTCGAAAAAAGTAAAATAAAACAAAAAATTAAGAAGAAATAGCATCAAAGGTTTTTTATCAACCACCCCGTATGTAAAATATGGGGGTGTCATTATTTCTAATAATATTCTATTGTTTGTTAATAAAAAAAGAGGAAGAAACTCAGTCATAGCAAGTTTTTTTTTCAAAATTTTGCACAAAAACAACTTGACAACGCTGCAACCGAAATATAAACTCTATGAATGTTCAAAATTAATATACGGAGTGGTCAAGAAAATCTTGTATTGTATCTACAGGGCAATTAATATAAATACAAATAATCGAAAAAAATAAAATAAAACAAAAAATTCAGAAAAAATAGCATCAAAAATCTTTTTATGAGCCAACCTGTATATTATGGAGTGTCATTATTTCTAATAATAAAAAAAGAGTGAAAGATTTTGAGTCATAGCCTGTTTTTTCAAAATTTTGCACAAAAAATTAAACAATTTGGCAACGCTGCATCCAAAATCTAAAAAACGTAACATATACAGGATGACTGGGAAAACCTTTCTTTCTCATTTTATAACAAATAACATCTGTTATTAATGTTCAAAATTACTATACAGAGTGGTCAAGAAATAAGACAAAAATAGGTGTTTTTTAACAGTTTTCTATTGTTAATAAAAAAAGAGGCTGGAAGAATTTAAGTCATAACCTGTTTTTTTTTTTTCAAAATTTTGCACAAAAAATTAAACAATTTGGCAACGCTGCAACCGAAATATAAACTTTTTCATTGACAAATGACATCTATTATGAATGTTCAAAATAAATATACAAAGTGGTCAAGTAAATCTTGTATTCTATCTATAGGACAATTAAAATAAATAAAAATAATCAGCTTTCGAAAAAAGTAAAATAAAACAAAAAATTAAGAAGAAATAGCATCAAAGGTTTTTTATCAGACACCCCGTATGTATAATATGGGGGTGTCATTATTTCTAAAAATATTCTATTGTTTGTTAATAAAAAAGAGGCTCGAAGAAATTAAGTCAACTTAAAAAACTTGATAACGCTGCAACTGAAATGTAAACTGTTTTTTTTTTTCATTTTATAACAAATGACATCTATGAATGTTCAAAATTAATATACGGAGTGTTCAAGACAATATAATACTGTATCTACAGGGCAATTAAAAAAGTAAAATAAAACAAAAAATTAAGAAGAAATAGCATCAAAAATCTATTTATGAGCCAACCTGTATATTATGGGGTGTCATTATTTCTAATAAAAAAAGAGTGGACTATTTTGAGTTATAGCCTGTTTTTTCAAAATTTTGCAAAGAAATTAAACATTTTGGCAATGCTGCATCCGAAATCTAAAAAACGTAACATACACAATATGACTGGGAAAACCTTTCTTTCTCATTTTATAACAAATGACATGTATTATTAATGTTCAAAATTACTATACAGAGTGGCCAAGAAATAAGACAAAAATAGGTGTTTTTTAACAATTTCCTATTGTTAATAAAAAAAGATGCTGGAAGAATTTAAGTCATAACTTGTTTTTTTTTCAAAATTGTGCACAAAAAATCAAACAATTTGGCAACGCTGTATCCGAAATTTAAAAAACGTAACATACAGGAAGGCTAGGAAAAAACCTTTTTTATCTATTATTAATGTTCAAAATTACTATACAGAGTAGTCAAGAAACAAGACAAAAAATAGGTGTTTTTTATCAGTCACCCTTTATATTATAGGATGTCATTAAAAAAGTTAAGTACGGTCCTGGATAAGTTTCAAAAATGTAAGTAAAAAAAAAGTACTTTCAATAAAGTCTACACAAATGACTCTCCCTGTTTAAAAATCTATAAAAAACATACAAGATAATTTATACAGGGTGATTCATATAAAACTACGGGTCGAACGAACTTTAAATACAGCTTTGTAGTAATGCATTTTTTATTGACATTTCAGAATTATGAGTCTGTAGTAGTTTGGTTGTTTAGAATCACAATCACCCTATATCAAAAAAATTCAGTTAAATTTTGAGTCACGCTGTATATGAAAAACTGTAGCTACGTAGAAGATTAATTCTGGTTCTGGACACGCATTTATTTTCGACCGCAATCGATGGTTGCGGTTTGTTGTAAGTAATATTATTGTCAGTAATGTAATCAGTGGATTGTCAGTAATCACGGATACCAATGTAAATTGTGATTGATAGCACATCACCATTCAATCATTTGGACGTTATACTGACAACGAGTTCGTTTTCCATAATGAGAAAGATAATAATCGAGAAAAGAAAAATTTAATTTCAACTCTTGAGCAAACAAGAATCAATAATAATATCGTTCTCAGTTCTCATGCAATGGTTAAATTATCGTTTAATCTCATGGCATAATAGAATTGAAGACTTTTTCTTGACCACTAATTAACTAAAGAGGACGATTTATTTCACTTGTTTGAAAATAATAATGTTTTAATCGCTCATTTTTGACCAAAACTTCAAACTTAATCAAATTTATAATGAGTCGAGCAGGTGCCAGCGAAAATAATTTTCTCGCTGGCAACAATATCAAAGTGAAATCGTTTAGTAAAAGAAAACTCGCGTTTATTTTCGCTGATTGTTTCATTCAACTCAAACACGCAAAATAATATTTTGACAAAAAAAATTGCTCGTCATCAAATGAAGAAGGAAAGTATAATGGATGAAACTAGGAGAAGATAAGCGAGGATCTGATAAGATTTGTGTCGAGTTATAATTCCGCAGAGAGGGACGAAACTCGGTTAAGTACGGGGTGAACGTTGGGGGAAAGGAACGTGACACGATTTACTATCCCTTTAAATAAGGTTATTACATGAAAACAATATTACTCGGTAAACTTGAATTATAACCGAGCGACTTTTTTTAAATGGAAAAGGCGATAACTTAAATTGCTTAATTAAACTCAAACTCGACTCATTTCAACCCTTTTGCATTAATACCACATCTTTCTTTGTTACAGTATTACGAAATGTCCTATGGCCTTAACGTAGAAATGCATAAACAGGTAAGAAGTAATGTCGTAACTTTATTCACATCAAATTTATACTTATTGACAACGTACAGGGTGTCCCAGCAAGTTGAAAAAGTCCTTAAATGGTAAAATTTTAAAAACATTATACAGTATGTGCCCGGATTGAGTTTACAAAAGGAAAAAAAAATCTTTGATTTTACGTCAAAACTGCAAAGGATTATTCTAACTCAGTAGAAAGAAAAGTTAATTTTTCTCTTGATTTTGGAATAATTTTTCTCTGTTTTTTAAGTTCTATCACATTGGCGGTTTTATTATTTTGACAATGATGTCACTTTGACAAATGAGTTTACGCAAGTTAAATTTGTGAAAAACATAATTTTGAGAAATAGGAACTCAAAGAAACAGCTTTAAGGTAAAAACCAAAGTCATTTTTAACAAGAACTGTCATTATTTAATTAATAAATTATTTGTGACATATAGTTGTCAAAAAAGTCCAAAATCAAGAGAAAAATTAGCTTTTCTTTTCACTGAATCAGAATAATGAAGTTTTAAGTACTGATTTGCTCGTTTCAGGTGAAGCAAAAAATGTTTTTCCTTTGCAGTTTTGGTCTAAAATCAAAGATAAAAAATTTTTCCTCTTGTAAACTCAATCCGGGGACATACTGTATAGGACATTGATAGATACTAATCTAGTGCATCACTTAAAATATTTTGAACTATACAGCATGTCCCAAAAATAAGTTACAATACAAACTTGTGTTTTTTTTAAATGAAACACTGTATGTTTTTACGCTAAACTTTTATTAGTTTTAGAAATTAAGACGTTTTTTTTGACAAATAAAATTACATTTTTGTATTTATTTATAAAAGTTTATTTCGTAATTTTTGAGCTTGCAAAATAATTAATTTAATGAATTTGTTATGAAGCAAATTTTGTGAAAAAATCCGTTTTTGACTGAAACACTATTAAAACGCTTTCTAAAAAACAAAAATAAAAATGTTCGTCTCAAATAGATAATTTTTCAGTCTGTTTTAGTGTGATCTTAAAAAAAACAGAATTTAGTTCAAAAATGTCGCTGCATTTTGTGTGTTTTTGGCATATTTTTTGACGAAATTTATAAGCGACTTAAAAGAGCAAAAATAACACAATTTTGGGTCGAATTTTGTGTTTTTCTTCTCCACAAAAATTATTAGTGAAAAAAAAATTGTTAAAAACGTCGAAAACTGAGCAATTCTAGAGTAAATCGGGAAGAAATGAAATACGGGAGTTCTAAGTTCTAAAGTCCATCTATCTCATTGATCGATCTCTCCCGGATTTACTCTATTAATTTTTTTGTTGGTTACTTCTATTTGCACAAAAATTACTATTACTTAGTAAATATATACAGGGTGTTCCAGCGAGTTCAAAAAGAAACACCGTATGTTTCTTTGCATTTTTGAATGTAGCCTTTTAAAACAATGTTTTTACGCTAAACTTTTATTAGTCGATTTTGCTTAGTTTTAGAATTAAGACGGTTTTTTTGACGAAAACATGCACTTTTTTAAAATTTATTACACAAGAACTAAGACAGCTAGAACAATTTTTTTCTTACTTCTGCAAAAAAGAAAGAACAGAATTTAAAGCTGTAGCAATTTTTTGGTGTTTTGCATTTGTAAAGATTAATAAATTAAGAAGTTTGTTAAAAGTTAAATAACTTAAAAAATTTAAATGGAACACTCAATTTTTTATTTTTGCATCTAATAGATTGATAAATTGTCTATATAAAAAAATAAACTTTTAATGTCTAGAATTGATAAATGAAAAGATATTTAACATTCAATATTAATTGTAGCAACAATGATTATCAATATCTGAGCATTGTTGATACTATGGCAAACATAGTAATTCCACCACGGATCACTTATCCGTTGATTTATCCAGAGATTGTAAAAGTCGTTAAAAGTACTGAAATTCGAATTATTTTATTGTAAAAATAAAGAATAATGAATTCAGTTTAACACAAATGTGATTATTAAGTGATATTTCTTCCATCTCTTGTGCAACTGTGCATTTTTTGGCTACTGAAACAATAGTAATAATTTTTTTTAATATTCAACGTTAAATATCTTTTTAGTTATTGATTATAAATACCTAAAAGTAGTAATTTTAGAAAGACAATTTAATAATCTTGCAAATGCAACACACTAAAAAAATCTTACAGCGTTATATCTTATACCTTCTTCTTTGCGGTAGTAAAAAAAAATATTTCTAGATGTCTTAGTTTTTGTGTAATAAATTTTTAAAAAGTGCATGTTTTCTCAGAAAAACCGTCTTATTTTTAAAACTAGCAAAATCGACCAATAAAAGTTTAGCTTAAAAACATTGTCATAAAAATCCACATCCAAAAACACTAAGAAACATATTGTGTTTCATTTAAAAAAACACAAGTTTGTATTGTAACTTATTTTTGAGACACGCTGTATATTTGAAAATAATTTTAGACTATGAACTAGATCCTGTATATGAAATATTATATACACCTAGTAAATATAAGAAATAGTAATTTTTGTGCAAATAGAAGTAACTAATAAAAAAATTAATAGGGTAAATCCGGGAGAGATCGATCAATGGGATAGATGGACTTTGGAACTTAGAACTCCCGTATTTCATTTCTTCTCGATTTACTCTAGAATTGCTTAGTTTTCGACGTTTTCAACAATTTTTTTTTCACTAGTAATTTTTGTGGAGAAAAAAACACAAAATTCGACCATTTTTGTCATTTTTGCTTTTTCAAGCCGCTTATAAATTTCGTCAAAAAATATGCCAAAAAAACACAAAATGCAGCGACATTTTTGAACTAAATTCTGTGTTTTTTTTTAAAGATTACACTAAAACAGAGTGATAAATTATCTATTTGAGCTGAACATTACATTATTTTTGTTTTTTAGAAAGCGTTTTAATAGTGTTTCAGTCAAAAACGGATTTTTTCACAAAATTTCCTTCATAACAAATTCATTAAATTAATTATTTTGCAAGTTCAAAAATTACGAAATAAACTTTTATAAATAAATACTAAAATGTAATTTTATTGTAAAAAAACGATGAAGTTTAACGAAACTTATTAATAAATCTACCCCACAAAACCTTTTCAACTTTAAGCTTCACCATTAAATTTAATTAAAAAAGCTTTATTTTGCAAGTGTAAATATTATGAAATAAATGAATACAAAAGTGTAATTTTACAAAAAAAAACCATGTAATTTGGTAGACAAGCAAATAAAAAATTGCTACAGCTTTAAATTCTGTACTTTCCTCTTTGCAGAAGTAAGAAAAAATTTGTTCTAGCTGTCTTAGTTTTTGTCTAATAAATTTTTTAAAAGTGCATGTTTTCTCAAAAAAACGTCTTATTTCTAAAACTAATAAATCAACTAATAAAAGTTTAAAACATTGTCGTAAAAATCTACAACTAAAAACACTAAGAAACATATGGTGTTTCATTTAAAGAAACACAAGTTTGTATTATTGTAACTTATTTTTGAGACACGCTGTATAGTTGAAAATAATTTTAGGCGATGGATTAGCATTTATCAATATCCTATATAATTTTTTTTTAATTTTACCAATTAAAAGTCATGTTTCATAACACAAGACTTATTAACGAATTTTTTGCTTTATTTTTCCTCCTCACCACAATTTCTTGTTTTCAGACTGAAATCGCAAAACGCTTAAACGCAATTATCGCCCAAGTGCTGCCGTTTCTGGCCCAAGAACATCAACAGCAAGTGGCAACGGCAGTTGAAAGAGCCAAACAAGTCACGATGACCGAACTCAATGCAATAATTGGGGTAAAAAAAACACACTTTTTATCCGAATTTTATCCCCTTGAAACATGAGACTACTTATATGTTTTATTTTAGCGGAATGTAGTTGCAATTTGCATGATTTTTTATTGATTGGTTCAATAATCTTTCAATATCATCACAGTCATTATTTGTTTGGCATATGAATTATCATTGTTTTATTAACTGTGATGATTTTCAAAGAAAACACTTAAAACAATATAAGTAGTACCTACATCTTTTGAAAGTAATTTCTTTTAATTTTTTTTGTTTGGGTTATTGACTTTTATGGTGTTGGTTTATATTGTTTTAATTTTGTCCGTTGTTGTTTCCAGCAACAACAACAACAAGGTCTTCAACAATTGCTTGTAAGTAGTTTCTATTAGCGTCTTTTTTAGTCATTGATTTCATAAAAATCGTATTTTTGTATGCATGGCATGTTAAAAAAATTCGAACAAAATTTTTTTTCTAGTAATCATTTACAAATTATTAGCAACAGATCCACGCCCAACAACTCCCTCATGGTCCTCATGGTCCAGGCTTACCCATCGGTCCTCATCCCGGCCTTCCAGGAATGGCTCCAGCCGCCGCCGCCGGCCTTCTGGGATTCGGTGCAGGATTAGGTGGGGGTGTTCCAGGAGCACCCACAGGACCTCACGCTTCTGTAACCGGAGGCGCTCATCCTTTACTCAAATCAACAGATCTCCATTCCAGGGAAGCCGTTGACATCAAACCTGGATCGGCTAATACTGAAGAAAGACTGGTGAGTGGATTTCAGGCCAATTTCAGGTTTTGAAATGATTTTTCAGAATTCTGTTTCGCCCGGAGACAGAGATAAATACAGATCGAGATCGCCGCCAGACGTGGAACAGGATGTCAAGAGACGGAAAGAAGATAAATTGGGGCATGTAAGTAACTAACAGGGTTTTTTTTTTCGCTACCAACATTGCAAAAATTTACTGAAATAATTGGTATTAAGGGTGCGTGTTTTATCGATGGCGGCCATGTTGGATCACCGACTGATACGGATAAAGCTTTGGGGGAAAAATAGTTTCATTTTTGAACAAATTTTTTAGCACAAAAGTAAAAATAACACCATTTTTGAGTTTTAGCGATTTGTGACGAAATAATTTTTTAATTGAAAAACGTGCTAAAACGCCCAAAAAATTATAAAAAAGGTCATTTTCAACCCAATTTGGTAATTTTTCAATATGTTTTAACAGAATCTTACAAAAAAACGTGATGTAAACAAGCAAAATTCATTATTTTTCACTTAATTTAGTGACTTTTCGGTATATTTTTGTCTAAATATTTCGTCTCTTATTGAAAAATATGGTGTTAATATGGAAAACCGTTTTCGAAAAGTCGATGAACTAGCTTCAAAATTACACCTAGTAAACAAGAAAAAAATCTTTTAAATGAGAATTTTAATTTTCGGGACTGCATAAAGTGGACTTTTTATATTGTGTCGTTAGAATTTCATTTTTAAATGTTTTGTTAAACTTGAAATATTTAACAAAGTTTATATTAGAAAATAAAGCTTGTTTTTTGGTACATAACACTTTAATCAATTTTTTAATAATATAAACTAATGCGCATTTGATCTTTAAAAAATCTAAAAAAAAAGTTTTCTTTTAACAAGATAACAATATTCACATAGGCCTTTATAGTAGGTATTAATTTTTTGGTATGTTTTTTAGCAAAAGTTAAAGAAAAAACATTGTTTTAGACTTAAAAATACAACTAAATATTTGAAAAAAGCAAAAATACATTTTCGAATTAATTATGTGATTTTTTGGATTATTTTTGCCGGAGTTTTGTGCTTTTGATTGAAAAATCTGCTAAAACGTTTGGAAAAGCAACCAAATGATTTTTGAGCTCAAAAACATGCTTAAACTATCCAAAGAAGCAAAAATAATTTTAGTTTCGTGATAGTTTATTCATTTTTTACCTCATTTTCTACAAAATTTTTTAAAATAATTGCCATTCTGACTAAAAAACGTCCTAAAACGGAAAAATGGTATTATTTTTGAACAAATTTTTTAGCACAAAAGTAAAAATAACACCATTTTTGAGTTTTAGCGATTTGTGACGAAATGATTTTGTAATTTTTTAATTGAAAAACGTGCTAGAACGCCCAAAAAATTATAATAAAGGTCATTTTCAACCCAATTTGGTAATTTTTCAATATGTTTTAACAGAATCTTACAAAAAAACGTGATGTAAACAAGCAAAATTCTTATTTTTCACTTAATTTGGTGACTTTTCGGTATATTTTTGTATAAATATTTCGTCTCTTATTGAAAAATATAGTGTTAATATGGAAAACCGTTTTCGAAAAGTCGATAAACTAGCTTCAAAATTACACCTAGTAAACAAGAAAAAAATCTTTTAAATGAGAATTTTAATTTTTGGGACAGCATAAAGTGGACTTTTTTATATTGTGTCGTTAGAATTTCATTTATCTATGTTTTGTTAAATTTGAAATATTTTTATAAAGCAATAGTTATCACAAAGTTTATTTTAGAAAATAAAGCTTGTTTTTTAGTACATAACACTTTTATCAATTTTTTAATAATATAAACTAATGCAGTTGATCGTTAAAAAATCTAAAAAAAACATAATTACCTAAGTTTTCTTATAACAAGAAAACAATATTCACATAGGCCTTTATACAGAGTGTTCCGTCTAAACCCCACATTAGAAGTATTGAGAGTTCGAAAAATCGTATTTATTTGAAAATTGGTACATAGCCATAATCCATTAAGTCCTCCTAAATGAAAATATTTTCAAGATGGCGGCACTTCCGGTTATACCGGAAGTTGGTCTCAAATTTCTTATTTTAAATGGAAAGCTATATTTTTTACTGCGTTTTTGGATTAATCGGGTCATTTTAAGGGAGTTTTCATCAGCTTTCCCTATACTTAAATTTAGCCGTTTTGGAGTTTTTAAATTTTTTTGGATCTGCACCTTCCACTTTAAAAATCGGTAACTCTGCTATTTTTAAAAATTTTGAATTCGTTTTTTTGGCGTTTGAAAGAGAAAGTTTAGATCGTTCTTCCGGTGTTTTGAAATTTTGAAAAAAAAAATTAACAAACCCTAAAATTTTAAGGTTACTTTTGCAACAATTCAAATACCCATAACTCAATTTCTTTTCTCATGGATTTCGACCAAAAATTTTTTTTCAATTGCTACTTTCGCTAATTATCGTGTAAATAAGACGAGGGATAAATAATTGCGTCCGGAACGACTGGGGATTGATGATGGCGGCGAGAGGGTGACATAAAGGAGATATTAGGGGTACAAAAGCGCCCTATCAAATTTTATTCAAGATTGTGATTTATGAGTAAACTGGTTAGTTTTTTTGCTAGAAATGAGTGTTTAAAAGATAATTGTGAGGAGGAGGAGAAGAGTGTCGTCGAGCGTGACGTGTACTCTTTTAATTTATCAAACCTAAAACGGGGAGAGGTTGCTTAGGAGCTAGTCGACAGTGCGTGAAATCCACAGTGTATAATTATTGAATGCACGACAATTTGTCGCTAAACTGCAAAGTTTCAGTCTTTTCCAACATTTTTCTCTGTAAATAAATCATTTTGTTTGATTTTATTTATTACATCAGAGTTTTATGTTTATTTTTATATTCGAATCGTGTTGGATATTTTTAATTAAAATCGATTTCATTTCATAATTTTCTTGTAGTTTGTTCTTACTACTGCAATATCACATTTATGTTTGAATCAATAATTCATGACACTATCGGGCTTCAAATGTCGTTTCATATTAAATAAATTACAACGAACCATATAAAAATCGATTGCTAATATATCTAATGGAACCGTTTGGTATATTAATGAAATGTATTTCATAAATAAATTTTATCCCCCAATAATTAATAATTTCGTAGATTATTATTTGTGAAGTAAATATTTCACATGCATACAAATTATCCCAATAATTATTTTATGTGATTGTTTTAGGAAAGCGATGGTGAGAAAAGCGACCAAGACCTCGTCGTCGACGTCGCCAACGAAGTGAGTATTTTTTTCCTCCCAACGGGGAATAAAGTCAAGCTTTATTCCTAAATACCGATTTTTGCTCTTGTAATGAAAACGAGACACTTCGAATATCTCTGAAACTAAAAAGACTTTGCAAAAACGCCGAAACAGGGCGATTTTGTTTCCGAGGGGGACATTTTTTCACGTTATTTTTAAATCACCCCCAGTAACCACCTAACCCCCCACACACCCCAACTTTAAAAATTTTAATGGCACTACCCTATTTGTGGCACATCAAATGAAAGCTATTTTAGCAAGGTTTTCAAAACTTTTTACCAAAATTGAATCAGACCATCCATTCATAGAAAAAAATTGCAAAAAAATAGGTTAATATTGTCTTTAAAACCCACATAATTCTAAAATGTCAAATAGTACCAACCACTATTGATACAAAAAATGAAAACACTTTTAAAATGCTCTTTAAAAAGTTTTTCCAAAATGAAATGATTTTTATACATTCGTAAATAACGGCAAAAAATAATCTTTCAGCAGTCAGTATGTACGAGTATATTGCTATTTTTTAGATATTTACATTAAATTATTGTCCTTTAGTCCGATTATTTAGATAATAAAATAAAGAAATAAAAATAAATAATATCGTTCTTCAAAAATTTTCACGGGCGAGACTTCTTCTTCTCATCTTTTTACTTTTTTTTCAGAGGAATAATGTTTAAATCCTATTCCTTCTGTATATTTTTCCATTTGTTATAATCAGGAAACAGTGTACATTTAAATTTTTAATCTTGTAATTTTTTTATTTTAAAGTGTAACAATTTGCAATGGCTGATGATGGCACAAGGATGCCGAAACATGTCCCAACTTGACTAGATAAAATTTATCGATTTGTGGAGTTGACTTTAATATTACTTACTGTTTAAAACTACAAAACATCCACTTTGGGAAGAAATTGGATCGAGTTCTACAAATAAAAATAAGTTTAAAAATTAAAAAAAAAAATTAGAGTAGGCGACGATTAATATTCTACAGTTGGCAACACGTTAAAAATGACCATTCACCGTTTTCGTCTTGTACAGCTTTTTTGTATAACAATAAAAATTTTCTGCTTGATGTCAGGATTGTCATATGAACGACTTAAATCACCGCCCACTCTAATTTCTTGTACTTGTAATTTATTTTAATAGTTTTTATTAGAACTAATTACTAATTAGAAACATTATTATCTTTTGCGAATATCTTATGAATAGAAAATCCCATTCAACTTTAGAAAAGACACTTTTAAAATTGTCAAAAAATGTCTTTTAAAAACAAAATTAACGTGTTTTGGTTTTTATTAGAACACCCTGTATCTCACGAATGGATGGTCTGATTCAATTTTGGTAAAAACTTTTGAAAAGCTTATTAAAATAGCTTTCATTTGATGTGCTACAAGTAGGGTGGTGCTATTTAAATTTTTAAAGTTGGGGTGTGTGGGGGTTAGGGGGTTACTGGGGGTGCTTTAAAAATAACGTCAAAAAATGTCCCCCTCGGAAACAAAATCGACCAGTTTTGGCGTTTTTGCAAAATCTTTTTATTTTCTGAGATATTCGGGGTGGCTCGTGACAATGAAACACCCTGTATGTTTGATTTTTGTCAAATTTCTTTTTCAGGAAGCCTCCTCCCCCCACACCAACGGCGACCACGCCCCCCTCAGTAATTCAGGCGTCGAAATTCGTGAAAACGGCAGTACAAACGGCGATAAAATCAAAGTAGAACGGCCTCCAAGTCGCAGTGGTTCCTCCTCATCACGGAGCACCCCATCCCTCAAAAGTAAAGATGTAAGACAATACTCGTTGCCCCCTTGAATACTTCAACCATTTTTTTCTCACCCCCTTTAGGAAAAACCCCTGACTCCGGGCTCAAAACCCCGATCTACGACACCGAATCTAGGTGCAGCACCTGGAGCGAGCGGTCCTAAAGTCGGCCTTGGACCATACCCCCCATACAATCTGGCAGCCCCCCGTGAACATCTTAGTCCTTATAATAATGTAGCATCATCGTATGGCCGGCCACCTTTATTGGGTTACGATGGCCATCCACATACCCGGACTCCTGGAATTGCCACGAATGGTTTGAGTTCGATTCCGGGTGGTAAACCGTAAGAGTAAATCCGGTGGTTTTACAACAATTTTAAATGGTTTTTTAGGGCTTATTCGTTTCATATGAATGGTGAAGGGCAACTACAACCGGTTCCGTTTCCTACAGATGCTTTAATTGGTCCGGGGATTCCCCGACATGCGAGACAAATAAACACATTGAATCATGGGGAAGTTGTATGTGCTGTAACTATCTCGAATCCAACTAAATACGTATATACAGGGGGCAAAGGCTGTGTCAAAGTCTGGGATATAAGTCAACCGGGGTCCAAAACCCCAGTGTCACAATTAGACTGTTTGGTAGGTTTTTTAATTTTGGAAAGTTGGTAATAAATGGTGTTTTTTTAGCAAAGGGATAATTATATACGTTCGGTGAAGTTGCTCCCCGACGGCCGTACTCTCATCGTGGGGGGCGAAGCCAGTAATTTGTCCATTTGGGACCTTGCTAGCCCCACACCTCGTATCAAAGCCGAATTGACCTCCAGTGCCCCCGCATGCTACGCCCTCGCCATCAGCCCCGATTCCAAAGTGTGTTTCAGTTGTTGTTCGGATGGAAACATTGCCGTTTGGGACTTACATAATCAGACTTTAGTTCGACAATTTCAAGGTCATACAGATGGTGCTTCGTGTATTGATATTTCGTCCGATGGTACGAAATTATGGACGGGGGGTTTAGATAATACAGTGCGAAGTTGGGACTTACGTGAAGGCAAACAATTGCAACAGCACGATTTCAGTTCGCAGATTTTCTCATTGGGTTATTGTCCGACGGGAGAGTGGCTTGCCGTAGGCATGGAGAACTCACATGTTGAAGTTTTGCACGCGTTAAAACCGGATAAATATCAATTGCATTTGCACGAAAGTTGTGTTCTTAGTTTAAGGTTTGCCACGTGCGGGAAGTGGTTTGTGTCGACGGGGAAGGACAATTTGCTTAATGCGTGGCGAACGCCCTATGGGGCTAGCATTTTCCAGGTAATTGCAACTTTGAGGTTAGGTTGACATTTTCACTACAAATTTCGACCTAAAACGAAAATCGTTAAGATTTATTGTTTTACATACCTTAATTACACTTTGAGTGGGAAAATAGCCACATTTTGAGTCGTTTTTTAGTAAAAATGAAAGCGTCATTTTGCGTTTTTTGAAACAATTGCTTTTTTTCAATACCAACCTTTAGAGAATAAAATAACTCCAAATTTGGACCTAAAACGAAAATCGTTAATATTTATTGTTTTACATACCATGATTACACTTTGAGTGGAAAAATAGCTACATTTTGAGTAGTTTTTCAATAAAATGGAAAGCGTCAGTTTGCGTTTTTTGAAACAATTGCTTTTTTTCAATACCAACCTTTAGAGAATAAAATAACTCCAAATTTGGACCTAAAACGAAAATTGTTAATATTTATTGTTTTACATACCATGATTACACTTTGAGTGGAAAAATAGCCACATTTTGAGTAGTTTTTCAATAAAATGGAAAGCGTCAGTTTGCGTTTTTTGAAACAATTGCTTTTTTTCAATACCAACCTGTGGAGAAAAAAATCCACAAATGTAACAACTCCTAAATCGAAAATCGTTACTATTTATTGTTTTACATACCATGATTACACTTTAAGTGAGAAAATAGCCACAATTTGAGTAGTTTTTCAGTAAAAATGAAAGCGTCGTTTTGAGTTTTTTGAAACAATTTCTTTTTTTCAATACCAATCTTTAGAGAAAAAAATCCATGTAACAACTCCAAATTTGGACCTAAAACCAAAATCGTTAATATTTATTGTTTTACATACCATGATTACACTTTGAGTGGGAAAATAGCCACATTTTGAGTAGTTTTTCAGTAAAATGGAAAGCGTTATTTTGCGTTTTTTGAAACAATTGCTTTTTTTCAATACCAACCTTTAGAGAAAAAAAATCCACTGAGGTAACAACTCCAAATTTGGATCTAAAACGAAAATCGTTAATATTTACTGTTTTACATACCATAAATACACTTTGAGTGGGAAAATAGCCACATTTTGGGTAGTTTTTCAGTAAAAATGAAAGCGTCGTTTTGCGTTTTTTGAAACTATTGCTTTTTTTCAATACTAACCTTTAGAGAAAAAAAATCCATGTAACAACTCCAAACTTGGACCTGAAACGAAAATAGTTAATATTTATTGTTTTACATACCATGATTACACTTTGAGTGGGAAAATAGTCACATTTTGGGTAGTTTTTCAGTAAAAAAGAAAGCGTCATTATGCGTTTTTTGAAACAATTGCTTTTTTTCAATACCAACATTTAGAGAAAAAAATCTACTGATGTAACAACTCCAAATTTGGACTTAAAACGAAAATCGTTAATATTTATTGTTTTACATACCATGATTACACTTTGAGTGGGAAAATAGCCACATTTTCAGTAGTTTTTCAGTAAAAATGAAAGCGTCGTTTTGCGTTTTTTGAAACTATTGCTTTTTTTTCAATACCAACCTTTAGAGAAAAAAACCTTGTAACAACCCCAAATTTGGCCCTAAAACCAAAATCGTTAATATTTATTGTTTTACATACCATGATTACACTTTAAGTGAGAAAATAGCCACAATTTGAGTAGTTTTTCAGTAAAAATGGAAGCGTCGTTTTGAGTTTTTTGAAACAATTTCTTTTTTTCAATACCAACCTTTAGAGAGAAAAATCCACTGATGTAACAACACTAGATTGTCACTCTGAATTTATAAAAATACGTTTTATTACCTGAATTATTTTATTAATAACAACTTTAAATGAGGTTTGCAAAGTATCAGGGACTAACAATTAGTTTTTATTATTATTTTGATAATCTTTTTCAATAATAAGTGGTGGCTAATGTTAATAATTCTGTGTAGAAAAACACTTTAAAATATTTTCTTCAAGTTTATTTGTAACGACTTTGCCAATATTTTTGGTAAAAAACGTCTTGACCCGATTTTTGAAAAAAGTCCACAGACGTAAAAACTCTAGATTGTCGGTTTGAATTTGTGAAATGTCACTTGGAAGTGGCTAATGTCACTGGTTTTCGTTTTAATTACCGTTTTTTGCAATAGTAACATGTAATATTTTTGTTTCAGTCGAAGGAATCGTCGAGTGTATTGAGTTGTGACATTTCAACGGACGATAAATACATTGTGACGGGATCTGGTGATAAGAAAGCCACTGTTTACGAAGTGATCTATTAAATGCAACAATGTGAACGTTTTCCGGGGCCAGACAAAAAAACCCAGTACAGTTTTACCAACATGACAATTATTTTCAACTGTAACAACGTTTACACATGTTACAGTTTCAAAAACTACGAATTAGTAAAATTGAATAAACGGGAAACAAGTGATTATTTATGGTTTTCTTTGATTCGGAAAAATTGTACCATATTTGTTATTTGTTTATTCAAAATGTTGTTATGTGTGTGAATTAGATGTCTCAAACGCAAAGATTATGTAGCATATTTTTCGTAATTAAATAAAAATACATTACTCGCTTTTTATTTCACCTAACAACACAAAACATCAAACATTTATCAGTCATTTCAATCGAAATACTTGAGATAAAAACTTGTATAAATACAAACCTCAATTTCCTACATTTGTTAGCAACAATGAAACTTCTCCTCTTGTAAGTACCCCAAAATCAGTACCACTCATTTTTTAGTATTTTTCCGTTCTTTTTGAACGCTTTCGCTCTCCCCACCCTCTACGAGTACTACACATCTGAGGGAATCACCGAGGGGTTATCCGCCAATCAGACATACTTCACCCTCAATGGAAAAAACATCACCATTTACAGTGGTACCATGCACTACTTTCGCATCCCCCCACAGTACTGGCGGGACCGTCTTCGTAAACTCCGAGCTGCAGGTTTAAACACCGTCGAAACCTACGTCCCATGGAACTTGCACGAACCCCAAGATGGGGTTTTCGACTTTGGAGGAGGTGGTACCGATTTTGAGGCGTTTTTAGACGTCCACTCGTACCTCAAAATGGCCCAAGAGGAGGATTTGTTCGTGATTGTGAGACCAGGACCGTTTATTTGCGCCGAATGGGAATTCGGGGGTTTACCGAGTTGGTTACTCAAAAATGACATCATGGTACGCACTTCAGACCCCATTTACATCAAGTACGTGCGAAGGTACTTCGATCAGTTATTACCCATCCTTGCGAAGCTCCAGTTCACACAAGGGGGCCCCATTATAGCACTCCAAGTCGAAAATGAGTACGGTTCAAGCCCCCAAATCGACTTGGACTATATTAAAATCTTGTACGATTATATGAGAGGTTATGACATTGTGGAACTTCTAGTAACCTCAGATGGGGCTGGTTCTGGTACCAGTGGTTCCCTCCCAGAGTTACTCTTCCAAACTGTGAATTTTGGTTCCGACCCTAAGGGTAATTTCGATACTTTGCGCTCGTTTCAACCAGGGAGGCCCATCATGGCGATGGAATACTGGACTGGGTGGTTCGACCATTGGTCCGAGAACCACCATACTGTCTCCAATGGTACCTTCAACGAGATTTATGAACAGATTTTGACATATCCCGCGTCTGTAAACATGTACATGTTTCACGGTGGTACCAATTTTGGGTTCTTGAATGGTGCCAATATCGGGCCTGGTGACAATTCCGCGTTTCAACCAACCACAACAAGTTACGATTACGACGCCCCCTTGGCAGAAAACGGCGATTACACCGGAAAATACGAAATTGTTAAAAGTCTAATCAAACGGTATAATCCGGTTGAAACGTCAACTCCGGAACCACCGGAGTTGATCAAACGTCAAGCTTACTCTTCTGTTGAAATACAAGAAGAGTTGAATTTGAATGAAATTATTGACAGAGTGTCTTTTGTGAAAAGTCATGAAGCACTTCCTATGGAAAAACTCCCAATTAATAACAATTCAGGGCAAAGTTTCGGTTATCTTATCTATAGAATCGAAAATCTTGACATTGCAAAGTCCTCGATTTTGTCCATTAAAGGCCACGTGCGTGACACAGTCATGGTTTTGATAAATGGTGTCTTAATATCAAAACCATTATCAAGTAGTAGCGATTTTGATGGTTTTGGTTACTGGAAATTGCCCAATTCGAGTATTAATTTAACCAAAACTGATCTACGAAACGTCACACTTGATCTTGTTTTCGAAAATTGGGGTAGAGGCAATTTCGGGAATTTGTACCACCAAAGAAAAGGCTTAACTCAAGACAATCAAGTCTACTTGAATGACATTGAACTCAATTCCTGGACCATGTTCCCTCTGGAATTTAAAAAATCCTGGACCGAGAATCTGACTGGTTGGCGTAAATCTTCGAGTACTAAAGGACCAGGCATTTTCCGAGCCATTTTACCCATTGAAAACGAACCCAAAGACACTTATATTGACATGCAAGAGTGGAACAAGGGCATAGTCATTGTCAACGGTTTCGTAGTGGGGCGCTATGCTTTTATAGGCCCCCAACAAGCCCTCTACCTACCAGCCCCCTTCCTCAAACAAGGAGACAACGAAATTATCGTTTTTGAGCATTTCCAACCGGCCAAGCAAATCAAATTCAGCGCAGAGCCCATCTTCAAAACACCATAATTTATTTTTGTGTAAAAATTGTTAAAATTAATAAAAAATATATGTGTTAAATGTTCCAATAGTCCAGTTGCTAGGGTAACAAAGCTAGTTGCTAAGCACGTGATTTTGGCGGATGATTTGAATTTTTCCCCCGTCAATTGTCAATTATCGTTTTGTTATCAAAATTTTAATCGATTTTGCGTGTGACTTGGCGTTCTTTGAATAATTGTATCATCCGAAACGCGAGAATTGTGATTCATAATTGGCGCGCAAGTCACGTGTTGCGTCCTTGATACGCCAGAGCCGCCTGCGATAAGTTTGTCTAGTGAGTTGATAATAAAAAAAATGGTGGTTGTTAGCCTTCTTTTGCGTGATAATTATTAAATCACAATGAAATGGGTACTTTTTGGCCACGTGTGAGTCTCACAACCCGTCTGTTATCGTTTTAGGAGTGTCTAAATCGAGGTATGTGTAAAAGTATGTTTCACTGGTCATATGGGCGGATACTATGTTTGGTTGCTCTGTCATATTGTCATTGTGTTGCATGAAATCATTCAATTAATTATTTCAATTAGTTTGGTGGCTTTATTAATCACAAAGTGGCCCCCATTTTACTCGAAATTCAAGTCTCGAGTAGGCTGTGCCCAATGACACTAATGACAGTTAAAATGTTTTTTTGGGGAAAATACGGTGAAAATGACGGGATGAGGGACAACAACCCCCGAAATAACACTCACAGGGTTTCAATTAATCAATCAGATTCTACTTTTTTGTTGTTATTAATAACAAATGGGTGAAAACGAAAACGTGTAGTAGGCAGTGCCCATTGACACTATTGACAGTTAAAATAGTTTTTTTGTGAAAAAACCGAGAAAATAAAATTACAACCCTCGAAACAACCCCCATTTAATAATTAGATTGTGTTATTGTGTGAAAATCTGATCGTGCCCAATGACACTATTGACAGTTACAATCTTGATTTTTGTAGAAACGGTCGGGTGAAGCCAGCCCCCAAAATGCCACTCTCTGGGGCCCATTGACGCTTCATTCACCATGTCAACAACGGAGAACAACCGGTATATTGTGCAAGTGTACGTGGGGGCCTTATCGGCGCTCTATGAAGCCTTGTCAGTGGAAGCCAGTAAACAAACCACATCCGAAGAGATCGTTTCGTGTATCGTTGAACGTCTCCTCCTCAATGAAAACGTCACTTATGAGTTGGCTGAAGTCATAGGAGATGACTTCGGGGAGGACTGCAAGGAGCGCCGGTTAGCCCCCTCCGAGAATCCGGTCCAGGTGATGATGCTATGGCCCAAAAACCGAACCGACCAGTCTTCATACAGGTAATGTTGGCAATAGTGGTTTTTCGGCCTACTATGTTAACACAAGTGACGGCGATTCCGTGAACATCCCGTCGGGCCGAATGACAGTTGACTATAAAAATGTGACATTTGATTTTGTTGCCAACCTGACGGTGATTTAACCCCTAGATTCTACCTCCGAGAGAAGATCAGCGATTTTGGATGGCAGGACCAGTTCGTGATGGACCCCCAACTGATCAAAGACTACTTCCACCGTTTCCTCTACCAGCCGAAAGACCGGGAATACCCCGATTTATGCCAATTACCCGATTTGAACGAACAAACTTTACTCGACAATCTTCGTGCCCGTTTCGTCGCTGGTCACATCTACACCTACGTTGGATCAATCCTAATTGCACTAAATCCGTTTAAATTTTACCCAATTTACAATCCTAAATACGTGAAATTGTACCAGAATCGTAAATTGGGCCCCAATTTGCCCCCACATATATTCGCAGTTGCTGATACCGCTTATTATTGCATGTTGAAAGACCGCAAGAACCAATGTATTGTTATAAGTGGGGAGAGTGGTTCCGGGAAGACCGAAAGCACAAATTTCCTCCTACATCACTTAACGGCTTTGAGTCAGAAAGGTTCCCATGGGAGTGGCGTCGAACAAACTATTTTAAGTGCCGGTCCTGTTTTGGAAGCTTTCGGGAATGCGAAAACAGCACATAATAACAATTCCAGCCGTTTTGGGAAATTCATCCAGGTTAATTATAAGGAAAATGGAATGGTTCATGGGGCCGTAGTCCAGAAATATTTACTGGAAAAGTCCCGAATTTGTTCACAGGGACGCAACGAACGCAATTACCACGTCTTCTATTACCTCCTCGAAGGAGCCACTGAACAAGAAAAACAAATCTTGCATTTAAAAACCCCCGATCAGTATTACTACTTGAACAAATCGTGTCATTCATTGGAGAATGTCGATGAGAGTTACGAATTTTCCCGATTGAAACAATCAATGGAAATGGTGGGTTTCACCGCTGAGAAACAACGTCGTCTATTTTCGGTACTTTCCGCTGTTTTGCTTCTTGGTAATGTTGAGTTTCAACCACGTCGACCTGCCTATCATCATGACGAATCAGTCGGTGTAAAAAACCCCGAAGTTGTGTTTTTAATATCGGAATTGTTGCGTGTTAAACAAGAGACGTTATTGCAAGCTTTAACGGCGAAAAAAGCACGAGCTTCGGGGGAAACCCTCGTTATTACGTATAAATTACCCGAAGCTATAGCAAGTCGAGATGCGATGGCTAAATGTTTATACGGGGCACTCTTCGATTGGATTGTTTTACAAGTGAATCATGCTCTCTTATCGAAAAAAGACACGCTACGGGAACACCAAGGCAACTCGATTGGTGTTTTAGATATTTTCGGGTTTGAGGATTTTGGTTTAAATAATAGTTTCGAACAATTGTGTATTAATTACGCCAATGAACACTTGCAGTATTATTTCAATCAACATGTCTTTAAATACGAACAAGAGGAGTATAGGAAGGAGGGGATTCGGTGGAACAATATCGATTTTATGGACAATACTGGGTGTCTCCAATTGATTGAAGGCAAACCCAATGGGTTATTATGTCTCCTTGATGATCAATGCAAGTGAGTTGTAGAAAAAATTAAGTGTACAAGATGCTAGGATGCTGCATTTTGGATGTCCGGATAGGGAATCTCCGAAACTGAGAGGTTTAGCCAAAAACGAGTAATACATTCTGGGGCTCATTTTTTGAGAAAATAATATTGGTTAAAACCGCATCTCGCTATCGTCTTTTGTTTTCGACTTATAGACAAAAATTGAGATTTTAGCGAAATCTAAAAAAATTCATATCTTCGTTATTATAGAAGATACGGATTTGAAATAAAGACATTATACAGGCACTTTTTTACGAGGAATTTAATAATGTAGTTAACAATTTTTTTCAGTTATTAGTTTAGCCGTAATAAGATAA